GTAAGGAACGTGGCTCTTTATTCTTTGTTTTCCATGAAATGAATCATTATACTAATTGATTTTTGATTTTTAACTCTTATTTCCTGTATTTTCAATGAGATATTAGTAAAGATTTATTTATTGTGATTTGTGAATTGCTGATTTTATTTCCTGTGAGCTGTAATCACTACTTCCCCAATCAGGCCTTCCCAACTACCAGACTCGGCACCTACGGGTCCAGTATAAACCGGTTTATCAGACCACACTACCCGTTTTCAAGGTGTGTGTCAGATCGCATTACAGAGTATCAGCCACCACACCGATTTTGCCTGGTGCGCGATGTGATAGCAATGATCCTAAACGGGGTTGGAAAGTAGTGCATCTCATCTAGATTCATGCGCTGCTGCAATTTTCTCTGTTTATGCTAAAATCTAACAGTACTGCAATTTTTAACATAAAATTTAGGTTCGGACATAGCCATTGATGTTTTGTAAATAAGAACTTGCAAACTGATATATTAATTTAGAAAAGTAGACCTAATTTTGATAGCGGAAGCATATTCTGTCGGGGGTTAAATATTTTCATGACTACCGGGATGGACGAGATTGAGGGCAGGGGTAATCCTAGAGAGGGGTGAGAAACGTCCATTGTTCTCGTCAGCGAGGCTGTCCTTTTTCAGGGTTTGTACGCACGGACAGAAAACTTAAGTATTGTGGGAACGTTACTAATGAAGCCACTGGTAGTACTAGTAGATATCAGCCTGTAGTCTTGAACAAGCGCCTCGATGACGAGTGAACAGTTGTCAGAAACATAACACCCAGGTGTGGTAGTTCAACTACTGTTCATGCGTGCCGCAACGACCAAACCTAATTGCTCCTCAAGGTCACAAAACAATAACCGGTACTGACGGCTAGGCTCGTCTTAATCATATAAGTAGCGCGTTTCCACCCCCTGATTGAGGGAGTCGTCTGTTGTATTCATACGACTCCTACTTGACGAAAACGAGGCGCGATACCCGGATGACAGGTAGGCTTACAGAATTTGTGATAGGGTATGATACTCTTTTATGCGATCTGACACACACCTTGAAAACGGGTAGTGTGGTCAGATATACCGGTTTATTCTGGACCCGTAGGTGCCGAGTCTGGTAGTTGGGAAGGCCTGCCAATGGGACCCTCTTTGCACAGTGGTGACAAATGGGAATCGTGCTTAAAAGCAAGTGACATTTTATGAGTTATGGAAGAGAATGGGATAAGAAATAATGACACCAGGGAATGTGGTGCAACAATAGACGAAAGCAATTTTTTTTTTTTTTTTTAATTGTTTTGAGGTTCATTTCTCTTAAATTTGGTAGAATTACAGTATTTTGCACGTATTCCTCATGTTTTGCAGTGTACTCTTACTTATGTATTGCTTTCTAAGGTGACATTCATTGTGTTTCACTCTTGTTAGTAAAAGGTTTCTCACCTTTACTAATCTTGTATGATGTCACAGTACAGTACTGTACAGACAGCCTCGGATGATTTCTATAAATTGTTCAGTTAGAACATGACTGTAGTCTCGTATGAGAAAGCTAGGGAGAATCTGTTTTCAGATGATACATTGACTAACAACTTTTTCAAGGGCAATAGAAAAGATGGTTTTGGTATAAGCCTTCATGTATTTGCTCGCTAAACTTGTCCCCATTTATGGTGGAAAACCTGTCTGGATGAGCAGTTACAATGTAGGCAAATTTGTCTGTACGTAAACCAGGAAAAGAACCAGATGGTAGAAATCAGTGACCCAACAGAATTAATTGTAAAACCTTTGCAATCTACTTCCTTAACAAGATATTGCTTGAGAAACTTTATTGGAAGGTAGACAGTCATTGGGTTTACCTTGGGTTGAAGGATTTCCGCAGAAATAAGGAAATAATACCCAAAGTTATTTTGAAATGGTCATCCTACTCTACCAGAGACCAGCTGGATAATTACCTCATTTCTGTGGGGGAAAAAACCCTGATGAAATGTAAGAGAAAATCTAATATCTTTACTCAGATGTACTTCCTTTGTCTTAAGAAAGCAAGCAAAATACTGAAGATGCTAAATACTCATTACATTTATGTTTTTACTTATCTGTCAAACAAGTCCTATAACTACATGCTTAGGAGAACTTTCCTTTGTCTTCGCAAAATTGATTTAAATAATAAAGTCCACAAGGCTTCACAAACAATCTGTTTCTTCAGCATTGCTGATTGGCAATAATAGTCTAAATCTGTGCCCTTGAGGCATTCTTCAAAAAAGGGGAGACTTTCTTGGCTTCAAGACGTGACAACTTCTGGCATAATGTATGATTGTTTGAATGAAACAAAACAAAGAGAATTATTTTTTAAACTTAATCAGATAGTTAAACTTCCCTACAATTCAAGGCCTAAGAAATAATAAAATATCAGGATGCCATCAAAGGACCTCTAGAATGAAAAAAATGTAAACATTTTGCATTTTGGCTTCTGAAAATGTTCAACAAGTTTCACCAAAACTGTTATTATAAATAGAAAATTGGGACACGATTGTATTAATTGCAGTAGTGAAAATGTATGAGGATTTCAGTACTAGTAGTAATCGGTTTTTCAAAAGCCTGCTACGGAGCTGGATTTTCGACAGCAATTTAAATAACCCACCAAAACTAGCACCTGATAAGGGTCTCATTGTGCAAGTGCACACAGAAGTGTGGGGAAATGAAAACTTTTTTGTTATGTGCCAGGGGCGGATTTAGGCCGTCTTCTGGGTCTTCTGGAAGACGGTCAGTTTTCAAGTTTACATTGATGGGTATCTAATTTTTTCTGTCGGAAGATGGTCAAAATTGGAGGATGAATCAACACAGACAATTGGAAGACTGTCAGTAAATAGCTCTGGATCCCCCCACCCCCACCCCCATGTGCTGCTGTTAAAGTATGAGTGAAGAGAATGCTGGAATGTCTTTTGAGTTGAATTTGATGTGACAAATAAAAATAGATGATCAAAAAAAAACAAAAAAAAAAACAGAGAACAAATAGAGCAGTAAATTGGCACCATATTTTTGTATGTGCACAGGGTTTTCCTGTGTAGCACATGTACAATTGTTTAAACAGGAAGCAGTACCTGGATTTTCAGTGTGGGATTCTGTTTAGCTTTGCTTTGTGTACAGGGAAGCAAATCAATTTTTACTTTAAAATCCAAATTTTAAAATCCAGATTTTTCAGATGGCAGTGTGAACAGGGTATTATTGTATTGTGAACTCCCTCAATTAGCCTCATTCTGAAGTATCCTGCTATTATCAAGTGTATATATTTTGTCTGTCACCAAGGGTGCTTTCCCAGAGATTTAGATCGATCCAGAGATTAAGATTTAGATCGACCTAACTCCCTGGGGGTTCAGGCTAAATTGCAGTCAGCCGAGCGGACACCATAGTTAATTACCCCCTTACAGCTTTTAGTAGGCGGGACAGATGCTTAAGCTGGCCAAGCTGACAGTAATCTAGTGAGACTCCCCACAGGGATAGATCGATCTAAAATCTATGGAAATGGGGTGCAAGTAATTACAACTAATTAGCTGTCTTGATTGCTATCAGAAGAAGAGTGCCTGGTGTGGTAATGTAACAGTGACCAACCCTGTAATTGAAGTTAATGTTTCATCACAGGGTCACAGTACAGAAATATACACAGAGGAGGAATATAAATGACAAAAATTCTCTCTCTGACCCTGTCCCAAAACCACTTGCAGAGAACACTGCTGACAGAGCTGGAATGGAAAATAGAGAGTTTCCGGTGCAGTTGGGATACGATGGCTAGATTGTTACGTATGTGCAAATGTATCCAGTAACGCCCTACTCTCTTCACGTTCCAGTAAAATCCCAGAATGCTGGCACTTCGCGCCATAGGTGGCGCTCATTCCAATATAATAACAATATACGGCCCCGTAGCCATCAATTTCCAAGGGGGAGATTCTTTTTTATGAAAAAGGAGACAAATATTACCCAAAAGTGCAATTTTTTCCAACAAAAATGGCGGTTGGTAAGAACCCCATGATCAACCCCCGACTACGTGCCTGATAAACCAAAACTAGCGACTCCTCTCTCTTAAAAAGTCGAAATTTGCATGAACGTACACTTGAACTATTGTAAAAATAGTATTTAAGGCATATAAATTAGCAAACATAACCTTTAATAACTATTTTCAATAATCTTCCGCACTGGCTAGATAGGAGCACTTGCATTCTGCAGACTAGATAGGACGACGGTATATGAATGCAGTAAACGTCATAAGTGTGCACAAACAGATGACGTATTAATCTAGCCGACGTATCTCACCGGCAATTATCCAAGGCTGTTGGCATAGCATGATGTCATCTGAGACAAGAAAACATGCTAGAATCCCTCTGAGGTGGGGCTAACTTTCCAGTGATAATGGTGACACTGTGTGCCAGAAATGTCATCTAAAAAATCTACATACAAAAGTGACGTGCAAAACATGGTTAATTTGCAGTGTAATGACATATAATATGACATTGGAGAAAACAACATGTAAAATATTTGTGTATAAATTCTGTCAGCTTTTATTTGTTGCTGCACCTAGTTATTAGTCTGGTATTATTTCTGATCCCATTCTCCTGTAAATTCCACAAAATCGCACTTGATTTTACAGTAAGTCACAGGACTTGGCACTATATCGGATGATTCTCATTGATAGATAATATCAAGAAGTGTACTTTGGTGGCACCCTGTTATTCTGACCTTGTAGCACAATGAGAGGAAGAGGATGGGTGGGTGGAACCGAATGGTTACCTGAACATGCATCCCCTGCATCCACATGAGAACAAATGCAATATTTGAGCATGGGCATTCATTTTATTATTTCATTAATTTTTAGATGGTTCAGAGTATCTACAAATATGTAGATATTTCAAAAACAACAGAAATTTCATTTAATTCCCACTTAAGATATTTTTTCACTTATCTGTTCATCTTATTGTGAACCCTGTATCTCTCCCTCCTGATAGGCTTGTAGGGTCCACTAGCTACACTATCCTCTTGAAAATGGCTGCACCTCCTACAGATCAAAGGCACTAGTAATAGGATTGTAAGAGCAATCAGTATGCCAGCATTTTAACATTTTCTTATGCCTGATCAGATTTTAATGTTCAGTCTTTTCTTTGAAAGAATGTCTTTGAATAGGACAACATGTCAGTTTAGGTAGTACTCATAGGATCAGGGAGAAATTGTATAAACTTAAGGTAGTATTTGTACTTAAAATAATTTCATTCATGAGATCTCAGAAAGTAAAATTGTAATCTAAATTTAGAATAGTTGCACTCATTGCAGTTTATGATTAGAAAGCAGTGTGAGATGATTGGTATTTTGATCCATGTTGCATGACATTACTATGCTGATGTCGTTAATGTGAAATAAATTGAATGCTTTTGTGTTGTACCTCAAATATGTAAGCAGGGAGCAAACTAATGGTGTTTGTGAAATGATAAGGATGCGTTGCTGATGCAGTCCTAAAAGGAATTACCACATCTTCACTGTGCAGAGATATGCTAGATTTGTTTCATCAGATCAATTCATCTAATAGGGGAAATAGACAATGTGTGTTAATGGATTTTGTCTGGTGTAGAGAATCCCTGAACTGTTGCATTGGCTGTATATTGTTTGTGCAGTCACCCAAACACACACTTGGTTTGAGTGCAGACATTTGCTGTAATAGCTTCATGTGGACTGAAGATTGTCAGGGTTGATATCCCATATGTAAGAGAGAGAGCTTGCGCACAGCGTGCTCACTTCACATTTGGAGGAGGACGTGACAAGCAGGACAGTCATGGACTCAGGATGGAGGTCTGAATGTGATATGTTTTACATTCTGAGAAAGTGACTAGAACTTGATAAAATGATCTTAATCCTAGATGCAGGATGAAATACTGATTATGATTGAAATAGTAATGCAGCCTTCTAAGATCGATTGAAGTAATGAGGTTAATCCATTATTCTGGCATTGATAAGTTCCACATAGCTTAGGGGAGATATGTAATAGAGTAAAATTGATTAATATACTGTTTTTTTTTATTAATGTTATGGTTGTTACAATTTATATATTATTTCAGTGCTCATTTGTATGCCATGGAAGTAGCCAAAGCAGCAGCAGTTGCCAATTCTAACAGTAATGGAAGTATTGCAGAGCTTGATCCATTGCAGTTCAAAAGGGAAACCAGACACAGGTGATTAAGACAAGAATTTTCTCTTGGTATATTGATGTTTACTCAATTCTTGTAAATACAAAATTGTTTAGATTTGAGAATGATTTGAAATAAAATTTTGTGACAGTGACTACTTTTACTCGGGTATAAAAAGGTATGTGAGCATATGTTACCCAGTTGTTCTAGAAAAAAATGCCATTGTAAAAACACCCATTCTTAGGCTAGGAAATGTGTAAGAATCATTTTTAATGGAATTCCATTCTATTTATAGAAGTCTTTTAAAGGGTGAGTAATAAGTTTAAACTTCCTGTTGGTGTAACATATATATACATATTGCCTTTCTACTTGAAGTAATCTCATGCCAGTTTTACAACCGTTGAATAAAGACGGGTTTCTCACAGACAGTTATATTTTGATTCATTATGGTTCACAGGGTATTTGTCAACAGAAGCTTACATTTAGAAAAAATCAAATTCTATGGATTTGACATGGATTATACTTTAGCAGGTAAGCTATTTCTCTCTGCATTGATGAACTGCTTTACTTTCATTATTATTTTTGAAACAGATGAAGAGATTTGAATTTAAATTGTTACATTGCCCCACCAGTATAGAAAGGTTATCAGCTCTTCTTTTACTTCTCACTGAATTAATCATTCCTTTCAATCTTTTCCCACCTTCTTACTTTAAATATCAGGGTAAGTGTGTAAATTAGGACACATACATGTTGATACTTCTAGTTGTCACAAAGATCTCCTCATACAGGTGCGTTCTAGCTTCTACCTAGCTATAATCTCACAAAAATGACTCATGATCTTTTATGAGGTTCTGAGACAGACACAGTCAAAGCCCACCCTCCCACTGAAATTAACTTTTAAAGTCTTATAATTATACTATGTTTAATATGCGATCGTGGAATTAGTAATTTTGTATTTAGCCAGGATTTAAAATTGTCATCTGACATCTCTGTGTTGGCACAGGTTGTTTGACTTAGCTTATTTTTTTGTCAGTGACGACATTTTTGTGGGCAATTTTTATTGATTTAACATAAACATCAAGTAGTCAATTTGCCTAGGGCCCAAAGTGCAGCATAACCTTGATATGTGTCACGCACCTGTTAAACAGGATGGCGTGATTGGTCTAGTTCCTCCCAGTACAGGGAGATAGGGGAATTCCTGTGTGAGCCAAGGCACATATAGACATACTTGCATTAGGACATGTAACATTTTTTTATCATGTGAATTTTTAATGGATAGCTATAGCTGACATGGTGCAAAAATAACTTCAGATAGCTGTGGACATTTACTTGCATTAGGACATGTAACATCTTTTTATCATGTGAATTTTTTATGGATAGCTATGTCTGACATGGTGCAAAAATAACTTCAGATAGCTGTGGACATTTACTTGCATTAGGACATGTAACATCTTTTTATCATGTGAATTTTTAATGGATAGCTATGGCTGACATGGTGCAAAAATAACTTCAGATAGCTGTGGACATTTTTGATTTTTCAAAATTTGAGTAAATAAGCTGTTTGAGATCTTAGTTGATCCCAGATAAATGAACATTTTAATCAAGTATCCTTTATCACTTATTGATATAGTTCAAAGGGTTCACATGAAGTCCTAATTCAAATAATGATTTTTAGATTTGGAATACATTTCTTTATCATCAGTTTTTGATTTAAAGACAAGGTTTTTGTCAACATAGGAAAACTTAACCTTCATAAAGAGTGATGGCTAGCTGGATGGTAGTACCAGGTGGCTCTGTGTATTTTAGATTGGCACAAAATCTGGGTCAAGTATGGTGAAAAGGGCCTAAAAGGTAGTTGAACATTACATGATTGCCCGATAAGGGCATTTTATCGACTAGTATACCAATAACTTAATAGTTTACTTATACTGTATGTTTAATCAGTAGTTGTAGTTAATTTTGTGCAAACAAGTTAATCTGCTGTGCACAGCATACATATGTCCAATATGTTAATAGGTGCATGCAATTGTTAACAGCTGATAATCTGGGGCATGTCAAAGTTTCAGGCCACTTTTATCATTTTGTACTTTTCTGCCATGCCTATTTTTTATTGAATTGACCAAAAATGAAACTACGTACAGTATATCTCAAGTATTTGTGATAGAATAAAATACTGTATAGAGCTGGTTATTCCACTACATATTTACAACTTGTTAAGTCAGTATTATTACATGTATTAGTATAGGTGTAGGCACAGCCTAGGGATCTTTGGTGCAGCTGTTTTGTCAATCAACCATTCTTTTAATGTTTTGGCTTATAATATGTGCTTTAAACTTAGGATAGCTTGGTGATATTTTGCTTTAATTTTTTAAGGTATTTGCTTTTTGAATTTAGCAGGAGTCAGCAAAGATTTATTCTATCTGATTGTTAGTACCTAAATTTTTTCCTGAAACAGTTTCATGATCGGTACATAAGGGAAAGTCTACATTATAATTATGATCATGCATTTTTAAAAAATGTGAATGTAAATGAGCCCCTAATAAGGTTGATGTTTATGAGAATTATTAAAAATAATAAACTCAAGATATATGAATTGGCTATTGTATGTATTGAAAATCAAGTTAAAATTGCTATTTCTCATTTGTAGACTACAAGTCTCCACAGTATGAGTCCATGGCCTTTAATTTAGTGGTTCAGCGCCTGGTTGACATTGGCTATCCAAGCGAGATCAAAGAATTTCAATATCAGCCCACATTTCCAGTCAGGTAAGGGGGATTTAGCTGATCCTTTACAGCTCATCTCAGTATTTGCATATCAGAAAGAGAATGATGACATGCAAATAAGAAGAGATGAGCCATTGTTAAGTCAAATTATACTTAGTCTGCATTGATGTTTGGTAATAATGGCATAGGTTTATCATGGTCTGTTTTGAATTGTTTTCCCTATGAGAATGCCTGCAATCATGTTTTATATCAGTAAGTAGATTAAAATCCATTGATCTTCAGTTCTTTTGGGTAACTGGACTCTGTCATTTCTATTATATATTAACCTAGTGATTTGATAGCCTGACATGCCTGTATTGTTTCCTAACCCTATCAGACATCTTTTGAAGAGAATTGGAGGTTAAATAAATTTAAGAGGTAAATTCAAGGTTAACTTTCTTCTGACAATGACCTATTGTATTGGATGGATTTGTCTCCAAGTTAGACTATTGTTATGAATTAACTAATAATTACCAAAAATGTCTAAAATAAGAGATATGAAAAATTATGTATGGAATAGATAGAAACCATTTAATGTACTCCTGAAATAAAATTAAATGCATTTCTTCAATAATTTTGAAGTGACAGATGTCTTATGTGAAATTAAATCAACAACTTGAAAAGTTTTACTCATGTAAGAGGGAAATTTTTGATAGTTTGTGGTATTTTAAAGAACAGGAGTGATGTTTTATAATTGACAAGTTTGATACTTTTTCTGAAGGGCAAAAAGTCTGCTGCATTTTTAGAAATCAAACAACTATGTTTTGGATTCCCTTCTTTCAACAGATAATGATTATTCTATTAAATGCTAAAAAAAAAAAAAATAATAATAATAAGGACCATGATAGATTTATGATAGTTTACCACATATGTAAGCACATGTGACTGACAAACTTATTTTGAAGTCCAGGAGGAGCAGGCAGTCTATGTGTGGAGCTGGTGCTGTCCTTATGTCTCCCACCTGGGCCAGCTTATAGCCAGCAGCCTACCTACCAATGCTGCTTGCAGCTGGGTAGGAGTGCAATGGCAGAAGAGTGTAAGAGTTTCTGCTCATATGTACTGATAAATGACTTGTCTCAGTGTCTGTTGAAAAACAAGAATCTCGTGTTCTGGATCATTAGAATAAATTAATGTAAAAAAAAAACAAACCTACACATGTGGTTTATCTTGGGAAAAGATGATTAACTGCAGAGGAGCTGCTGATGTTTTAGAAGACAGTAACCATTTGCACTCCACCTCTTTAAGTATGAAAATTTTCGCATGTTAAACTGCAGACATTAATAGGCTGTAATCATTAGTTGCATATAACAGCAATTTGTCTCTGATTTTTTATTCAGATTTCTTAGTCAAAACAATATTAGGCTTAATTTGTTTAAAAAAACTAAACATTTGATAGTTGTGAAGATATGTATATAGTAATAATTGTTGTTATATCTTGTCATAATTAAATTTGATTTTAAGTTTTGTATTTTTGGTACACAGGGGTTTGTGGTTTGACAAGCTTTACGGAAATCTGCTAAAAGTTGACCAGTTTGGGAATATTTTAGTCTGTGTCCATGGATTTTATTTTCTCAAACCGTAAGTATGATTTTCATCATTGTATTTTGTATGGATGTGACATGTAATGCAGAATACTGACCTGTAAAAACTGCAAGTAGGACCAAATATGTACAGCAGAGTAACTGGGTTCATGACATGCAGTTGAGTTCTACATCAAAAACAAACGAAATACAATAATGGTTTTTAACATGCATAACCATACTTAGTGTAGACAATTTGTATTTGTTGCAAAATAACACCAAATCAATAAAAAAGATAAATTTATTGAGATATAACAGGTTTAAAAGAAAAAAAATCACACTGCACATCTGTTTCAGACATGAAGTGATGAAATATTACCCCAACAAATTTATCCAGTTTGATGACAAGAGGCTGTATATATTAAACACACTGTTTAATCTGCCTGGTAAGTGTATTGTGCTTCTTGATTTATGATTTATGCAATGTGAAGGTGACAAAAGACCTAAAGCTTTCCATCCTCTATATGATTAGAAGTACAAGATTTCTGCATTACACGCGAACTAAATGCATAATTTAGTACTGCAATAATTGATGCTATACTTCACTATCTTATATGATATTCAACCATCAAGATGTGCATTGTCATCCACACCATGTACAAGGGAGGTGTCTGTGTCACATAATCTGTTTATAGTGGCAGCTTGTAGCAATACACCTTGCTTTAGTTGTATGAATTCCAACATATTTGAACATGATGTACAGTCCAAAAAGATCATATTCTATAGATTCTAAGTGGATGAAAGGCTCTAGATAAAATCAAAAGTACTGTATTTGAGAAAAATGTTGTCAATTCTGTTTGAGATTAAAATGGCAATAGCTTTATCCTTAGTATTAGCGATATTGTAAAAGATTCACCTTTTCATATGATAACAAGAAATATACTGTTGGGAATGGCCTGCTGCTAAAATGATTAATTAAAATTATTGTGCTCTTTCTTAACCATCAACAGCTTAGTTTTGTTTTCATTATCATCAACAGCTTTTCTATGCATTTCAGAGACTTATCTTCTAGCCTGTATGGTAGATTACTTCACAAATGCTGAGGGGTACACTGGGTAAGTGGGTAGTTTGAGAATTTACTGGTCACCAAGAGCTTAGCTTATATTTGTTGCTTTATTTTATGGTTTCTGAATATAATATCACTATTAACACGATGCATAACTTATTGTAGTACATATTTTATGTTAGGCAGAAATACCTGATCACAATATTGTTCTGAAAGAAGTGTTCACCTAATATATCTTTAAAGAAGAGAATGCCTGCCTTCCATCAGCTTCCTAGATGATGTTTTACATTCTGTTTTTTGTCAGAAACATTTGTTTTTGATCAGTTGCATATTTTAAGTTGGTGTTAAGCAAAATATCTGAAAAAGAAGAGATAACTTTTTTCAAAAGCAGTGTTATTTTCAAACTATTGGAAGAATATGTGGTGCTCTTAACCTCTTCAGTTGGAAGCCATCCAGGAAACTTCTGGATTTTTCTCCTGGCTCAGCTCATCATGACAGCAGCGCCATCTGGCAGTGAGCGTTTGAATGAATGTGGTTATGAGCAAGACTTGAGATCATGTTAACATGTCTTCTCTCTCTACTGCACCTTTCCGTATGACCCAGTATCCAAATGATTAACCCTATTCTAGGTCTTAAGTTGTCAGCAAGTCAGTTGCATGCAATTAATTTTTTGCTGTCAAATTCAGTTCAATGTTTAATAAATTGGGCAAGTAAAAGATTTGCTTTTAAAAGGCTTTACCAAGTAGACATTGTCTGCATGCTTTTGTCATTCATGGTACACATGTGATGTAAGAAGTGGCATCATTCCAACACCCTTTCCAACCATACATTGTTAATTCTTCCCACAGACTATACAAGTGTTCTACTTGTGATAATTTTAACTTGTCTTGGGGATTTATCTATCATGTTGACAAGATCGTTTGTGACAAAGAGATGCATGTGATAAACTTTGTAGCTATTATTACTTTAAAAAATAGTTGTTACACATTTAGCAGTGCAGTGAATAATTTGTAAGTGATATTTTGATAACAGTTTTTAGAAAGGCTTGCTTAATGGCTTACAACAAAAAATGTTGTTTCTTGAACCAAAATTTGAGTAAGGAATTAATAATTGATATTGACTGTTTAAATGGAAGAACATAAGTTAATTTGACACTTTTTGCAATGTTTCATGCTTTGTACATTATTCCTTAAGACTGATGGTTATAAATAGCACAGAAATGAAATTTTGCCTTCACATTTTGAAACCTTGTTTATGTTTAAATAATTGTTCAGTTATCGGATTTACTATGTTCATTGCATGCTGGTGAATTATTATAAGGTTAGATGCTGTACAAAATGGATGAAGGCAGCAAATCATTATTAGATGAATTTGAATATATCTTTATGACAAAGTCCATTACATTTATGACTTTTCAGAGAGGACACAGGTGTTAAGTATGGGGATCTGTTTATGTCCTACAAGTCTATCTTCCAAGATGTGAGAGGAGCTGTGGATTGGGTGCATATCAAGGTATTAAATAGTTCAAGTTTGTAAATATTTCTTTGGAGAGTTTAAACTCTTAAAAGAATCTGACTTTGCCATGAAAGAAAATGATGAAGTCATTGATTTTAACAACAAGCTATAACACTTATTTTAAAAGATCTATTTAAGCTTAAAGGGATAACACCTGTTTGTAAGATGTCCACATTTCACAATAAATACATTGTAAATAACCCACCGAAATATGATAAATTCTATTTTACCACCAAAACGGCAGTTAACGCATTTATTCTGGAATTTGTGCTTGCCATCAAATCACGTGACCTCCATAGATGGCTACACTCTGTAATAATCTCTTAAGAGAATATAACAAAAAAACAAACTTTTTAGAAAAAATAAAACCAGGGACTAACTTTGAATGTGGGAGTGGTTTCATTAACCACTGGAAAGTGTGAGAAAATTGTCCTTTACCCCAGGAAAATCCATTTTTTGGCCAAAATGAACAGTTGTTATCCCTAAAGTGGTTTTATTTAAGTTGAAGGTGAAGGAAAAACCTGAACCTTCATTATGTTGGCACTTGATTGTTACTTTATGTATATGTTTATATGTACATATATATTTCATAGTAAATGATAATTACATGTTACTTGTTTTGTTATGAAGTAATGTAGTACTGCTGTTTACTAATACAAGCAGCAGTATTTACCATTCCTGGAAGTATCAAATATCAAATCTCTTACACCAAAACATCTGTCCTTTTTTTCTCCCAGGGCAGCTTAAAGTCTACAACTGTGGAGAACCTTGATGAATATGTAGTGAAAGATCCTCGTCTATCTGTGATGCTAGATAGGTAAGTGGATAGTTTACAGGAATGTTACATAAAATAGTCGTTTGACATTTTGAAGATGTAGATTTGCTATCTCATCACTATTTATACAGTAGATTATCTAGCTTCATTCCTTAGTAGACATTTTTATTAGCATTTTCTGGGATTAAACAGCATTTAATACCAGTGATCAATATGCAGTATGAGATGAATTAGACGTAATGAGGGATAATGGAATCTTTCATAAAATTGATGACAAAAAATGATGAAAGAGAAATTTTGATTGTTTTGATTGCTTTCATTCAGTTGACTTCATGTGAAACAACTTGTCCTTAATTTGTATCTGACTTGCAGTGTAAAATCATCCATAATTTTTCCAGAATGCGCTCTCATGGGGCAGCAACATTCCTGCTGACTAATAGTGATTATGAATATACAAATGTAAGTTCATGTTTGTTTTAAATATTTTTATGGCTGCTTGCATTACAACCAGCAATTTAGTACTCATAGTTGCAGTTTAGCATGGAAATAAATATGGTAAATTTTGCATTGTCATTGAAGACTACCTGGTTCATGAACTGCATTATTTCATCACTGTATATAGATTTTATTTAGTTTAAAGTTGAACACTGCTTAGTGTATTAATTCTAAATTATTCTCTTTATTTTAGGGAGTTATGTCTTATTTGCTGGACCGGAAGAATAATGTAAGTGAATTTTATGAAGTTTGTAGGTTTTTGTCAAGAATAGTTGTCTATATGTGCAATAAAGAGCCTTGAGCTTCTTGCAAATGTCAGAGGATTATCTGTAAAGGTGTTTCATTTGTTCACCTGGAAAATTTACACCAGTAAATGATCAGATGGCTTCTAAATTCTGGGTAAACACAAGGATTCAGTTCAATAAGATAAACCGTGGCTGGAAAAGTTATTTGAGGCTGAGATGAAAGCCCTCTAGAAAAAGCAACATATACAGCATATTGATTAATTTTAGTTCAGTAGCTAGCAAATCCATGTAGATCAGATACATCCCATTGCAGTAAAGCCTGTGGCATTTCGTTAGGGGTACAAATTACATTAGTATCTACCTCATTCTGTACAAGAGCCATATCAGTTTCTTACACAGACTGTCTTTGCACCAGTGATTGTTGCAAATTAGTGTAAAAGATCTTGGCTGGTCGGATTTTGATGTAAGCTATGGTTTATTTAAAAGCACCTGATATATATTTAGTATTTATTTTGTCACAAGACATAAAAAGAAATGTTTTGTTATTTAAGTTTATTTGTTCATCCTAGGATGGTGAAGTTGTGCGAGATTGGACCACATACTTTGATTATATCGTGGTTGATGCCAGGAAACCCCTGTTTTTCTCAGAAGGAACTACGCTGCGGCAGGTGGACAGGGTATGAAAAAAACTTTTTATTAAGGATAAATTTGTGTGCTTTTATCCAGGCAGTTGAAGTGAATTTTTGAAATAGTGATTTTGATGAATTTGACAAGGTAACTGAACACTAACTGTGTTAAATTATGGCTGAACTTTAATAGAAGTAATATATTATTTTCTCTTGATGATTTAATTTAATCCTAACAACCCCTTACATATATATAGAACGTGGACTCTATAGGAATCCTACAGGACTCTATGAGACTTTGGGAATTCTAATGTGTGTCCTATAGAAAACAGGATTTTGGGTTGAATTTCTCTAGGATCCTATAGGACACTAAAGGAGGTTCTGTAGGAACCCAGTAGTAAATTTCTGTAAAGGATGTGTATAATCTATATGAGACTTGAGATGATAACACAGTTTATTTATATATTTTTTATTGAAAATTGTAGAAAACTGGCAGTTATAGTATAGGCACACACATGGGACCCTTGAGAAAACACCAGGTTTACTCGGGAGGTAATATATTGATATTTTATTTTCAACTCAACTGTTTCTTTAATATAAAAAAGGTTTATCATAAAGAAAACAGACAACATAAAAAAATCAAGGATTGGGCAAAAATAAAGTGTATCCTCCAGTTTTTAATTTCATTCAGTTGGTGAAATATTTCGATATGTATACAATTTTTTTCTTTCCCCAGGGTCATGTGATGTGTTTTCAGACATGATTGGTGCAAAGGGCAGAGACGTGCTATACATTGGTGACCATATATTTGGTGACATCCTGAAGTCCAAGAAAATACGTGGGTGGAGAACATTCCTTCAAGTCCCAGAGCTCAGCCAGGAATTATTTGTATGGACAGATAAGCATGAGATGTATGAGCAGCTACAGGCTTTGGATGCCACCTTGGCCAGTGTGTACAAGTATGTAACATGACAACTCTATGTCTAAATGTTGGAGTCATGGTAATTGTGAACATGATATGTGCTTGGTTTTATTGTGATGCTGTAGCAATGCAGTGATATATTTGCCTTAGGTTTGGAGTGCACAACTTGGCGTGATTTCTCACCTAACACAATCTGAGCTTTGTACCCATTGACTAATTCTTGCAATAACTTTTTTCTTCTGTATTTTGACATTTTATTTTTGTCTTCTTGCCCATTTTTACTTCATGATTACATTAGTGATACCACTTCAGCTATGATTCATGTATTTATAGTTTGCTTATTGATGTTTATATTTATTTCCAACTTCCAGAGATCTGGACAGTAGTGCTACCCAAGCACCAGATATAAGAAAAATCAACAAAAGCATTAGGGTTGGTATTAATTTCTGTCACTTAATTTTTTTTATAACTATTTATTTTTAGAATGATGGTCTAGATAAAATTAGTAATTCACATGAGTGAATTTAAGTATAGTTTGTTTGTTCACTGTAATTTATTTTCATTCCTATTTGTATTTTATCTTTAGAGGTTGTGGATGTTTAACTTCATAGCACATGATTTGAAACTTAATATAACTCAATTCATATTTCAGGACTTGGTGCACAAAATGGACATGTCTTATGGTATGATGGGGAGTTTGTTCAGAAGTGGTAAGTATAAGTCTTATGAAAAAGTCATGGGAAATAAGCCTCTTTTATTAAAGATGATAATGCGAATTATTCACCACTGTTGAATGATGTTAAATTTAAAGTGCATTTTAATAAATGATTCTATATGATGTGCTCCATCCTTTATGTAAATGTTATTTTTATTTATTTACTTATTTATTTGTGTTGGTTGCCATGACCAAGTGTAAGTCATGCTTATGCACTATTTTATCTATTGTAGGGTCTCGTCAGACTTTCTTTGCTTCTCAGGTGATTCGCTATGCAGACTTATATGCAGCCAACTTCCTCAACTTGTTGTTTTATCCGTTCAGTTACATGTTCAAAGCACCCCCCATGCTGGTGAGTAAACTGAGCCACAGAAGCTGGGTCACACGCACCTGGTTGGTCACACATGCACCCACCCACTCATGTACTTATGCATACATGCTGGTACCAACAGCTGGTGTATATGAACAATCTGTTAATAGTCACCAATTAATATTTTGTCCAATGATATTTTTATGATGCTACAGGTTTATTGATATATGTAGAATAAAAACAAGTCACTTAGTAATACAACTGATTGTAGCTATTGCTTTTCTGTTTCTTGGTATGCCGTCATTAAAAAAGAACATGCCTTATGCATTGCTGCTATTTTGCTTAATTATAATGTCACATACTGCAGCATTTTGAATTTATTTCAGATGCCCCATGAGGCTACAGTGAAGCACGACGAAGATTCCAAGGATATCCTTGAGGAGAGTCCAAGTGCTGCTAGAGGGCGACACTATAGTGTTGACCAGGGCACAACTGAAGGAGCGGAGAATAGAGTGCTGTTGAGATCAGACAGCCATGTTCCACATCTTCGTGCTTCTGCTCCAAAACGAGTCACTCACACTCATGATGAGGATGACTCTGATGAAGATGAGAATTCCACAGCTTCCAATGGTAGTGACAAGTCCACCTAAGGATGTGCTTATTATGTACAACCGGAGGGATATAAATAATATTGTATGAGGACTTGAGTAATGTGAAATCAATGGCCAGCGGCAATATGTAGTTGTGATAAAGGGCACTCCAGTGTTGCTAAAGTGATATTGCTAGCATATGCAAAGCATTTATTTGGCCATATGTTGTTTGTTGAGGCTTCTTTCTGGAAAATTTGAGCTCTTTGACAACATATTTTATATTAGTAAAAGTGCTTGTGTAATTAATCAAAAGGAAGACATTGGATTATATCTTTTCAGTACAAAGCAATATTAATTTATTATATTTTAGAATGATATGATAATTATGTTTATTTTATGTAGCTATGATGTAAAACAGATGCTGAAAAATACATAACCAGTCAATTCATATTCTTTTAGATTAGAAAAAGGACATTCTCATGGGAGTGCCAAACATTACAATATTCATGATTTAAGTTTCTACCTTTACTACATCACAGCATTGAAAGCATTTTTTCTTTGCTGTAATCAGTCTTTGCAGGATATACCATGTTCAAGTCTCTAATCAGTTGCATGTGATTGCAATATGATTTATGTTTCCAAAGAAATATTGAAAAAATATTTTAGTACAAAATGTTGAACTCACCAACATCTTTGTTGCTTAGTGTGATGTGATTTGATGTGCTTTAAGCCTTTTTTGTAGGCACAACTGTAGAGATACCAGCTTTCAGTGCCAGATATGAAGTCCCCAAAACAATTTACTTTTTTGAAAAAATGTTAGAAATTGTTTTATTTTCACAATTTTCAATGATGTGCAATTGTGCTGCCAGATTTAAGTTTATTTTACAGTATTATATACATAAAAATATATTTATTAATATTTGAGTGCATATTTATTACAAGATCTCCTTAGATATAGCTTGTTGGAGTTTATATGTTAGGTTTTTTTTCTTGGATATACTTAAGACAAATAAGTTACATAGCATTTTATCTTTAAGCCATACATACACCGAGGTTTGTATTTAAGAGGTCTGTTAATGTTACAGTCATTTGGACTAATGCACAGAAAGTTTCACAAGGCATTTTGTTATACTAATATAAAAAGTGATTATTGAAAAAATATTGAATAGTGTATTGTTAATCAGAGTTGTCACATTTCTTAACACCTCTATATACAGTAAAAAGGACTGATCTTCGATGACATGTTTATAACTCAAATATTTTGAAAAATTATAAATGGAATGGCCACCATGTTACACCCATTTTGGCTACTTTGAAGCTTTTATTACTTTAGTCTGAATTTTAGTGCCAGGGTGATGTGTGTCATGAATAAAAGTGTATTTGGTCATTAGTAGAAAAGAAATTGATCACATTTAGACAAAGTAATATTATCAGGTAGATATTGTATGGTGTCAACACTAGGTTGGCCATATCAAAATGTAGCTATAAAGCTTCATTTGTAAGAACTTTTCAATGAAGTTCACAAGTCACTATAGTGTTGAAGATATGTAGTTTGTTATTATATTCACTTTACTCAATAAATACAGTTGTCACCTGCTTATTTAGTTTATTTACTTGTGTTAGTAAAGTTGAGAAAATCCTCAAAAGAAGAAACATATACCTTTCCTCCTGTTCTAGAAAAAATTTAAAAGAATATGTAATCAAAAAAATCAATTTATCCAAAAAATTAAGAATGTCTTTTTTTGAAAAACGGGACTTGTATACAAAGATTTAGAAATATTTGGTTGGAATAAAATACAAAATATTTTTGATTCTGCTTGTTGAATATGCAGATACCTACAGACGAGCGGATTTGCAGGTTATAGGGCCCATATCATGTTTGAGATGTTGCTCATGCTGTAGGAGACGACTCGAAGAACCAGCGCTTAAAGAAGATTAACAAGATGCTCTGTGAATTAGTTCAGCTTTTGAAAGATTGGCAATTTTTTTAAAATCAAATAGTAACAAAATATAAACAGATAGACCCCTGTGATCTAGTTAACATCCAATTACTTAAAATGGCAAAGTATTTTGAGAAACATCCCCAAAGGAGCATCATGATAATAAAATTGTACATAGCATTATACATGGCTTGTCAAATAAAGCATAAGACAAATACTTAACTGTGCACAGTGGTTTTTAATGTTTCTTATAAAAATTACAACAATCCTCACTCACTGCCATGCAAAGAGATAGCCAGGCCTATCTCTCTGGTAGATCAAGTACTTGCTCTACTCTATCACACTGTTCCATATGATGAAGCTGAGAGAGAAATTAGACAGATCATGATGAATTGGTTCCAATAATCTTAAGAGTGGGTGATCGCCAATAGTTATGAAATAAAATCTGAAATCTACATACCATCATTAATATGATTATACTCAGTTATTTACTGTAATGTATTGTCATGTATTGTACTTAAATCATTTGTCATTATTTAAAATTCTTTTCGAATGAGATATTGCCGTTCTGTTCATAGTATACCACTGTGTACATTTTTGTTCTTTCAGCTCATAACTAGAGGGGGGTTTCTGGGCCAGTCACGCAAAGAAAATGGTCAAGATCCTGCAGCTATGGCATTTCCTTGTAGTAGAGATGTTGTCATCCACTTTAGGACTCAAGCCTACTTGGCCAACAGAGAAATTGCAGGCACAAAGGCCTGTAGCATCAACTCACAAGGGAAGCTGTAGTATGTGGGCACTTCAGACAGACTACAGTTCCGGTGAGTCTCGGGCCCTGCTGCTTTGGCCAGTTGCATGATGTGGAATGCTGAGCTCTTTGGCCAAATAGACTTGGGTAACTTTTTTTGGTTGTTTTTCATTTTTTGTTTTCACCTAGGCTACCCAGACAATACAAAGACAAAACTGACACCATGATGAAGTCACCCAGTTTTAAAATGCAGTCTTGCTATCTTCCTTAGCCCTCTTCCACGTGAATTACCCATGTCTATTTAGGGGGTTGTAACATTTCATTCGATAGAACATGTGCATTCCTTTCATTTCCATCATGGCTGCAGGAATACCACTTAATTCTCAACAAGCATTACAAAGCGGGTGACGTTCATTCACTTTAAGACATCACACGACAGCACAAAGACAAGAAATAAAGTCATATACTGTTAGTCACAAAGAGGCCAAATAACTGGCCTTCCTCATAAATCCAATCAGATGTTACACCATCAGTTCTTGTGACTAACAGATATGTAACAGTGTAATTTTTTTTCTTCTTTTCGGATGTTGATTTCGAGACGAGGTAATGGAGGCTCCTAGAGTAGCATAGTCTGTTTCATGTTTGTTTTATGCCACATCCTCTGTATTGCTGCCCTTCAGAATCTTGGTGAACTTGACATAGTCGATCCTCCCACCCTCTAGTGGCAGTTCCTTCCAAGTCTGATTGATCTGGAAACGATGATGAAAATATTTGTTACTTTGTTCCTGTATATTTAATGCCATCATATATAGCCCTATCAACAACTGCATTTTTGCTTCATAGGGTCAAGCTGACAAAAATTAGCTTTTGGGTATTTTATGTTATTTAAGTCAATATATTTCAAACTTTTTTTTAGCTAAATAATGCTTATCTTTGGAATTATATCCTATAATATTCAATAATATTTATCACATACCTCTGACTGGTTGTACTGGTCACCAACATTCATCAGAAGATCCTTGAAACTATATGGCAAGAAAAAAACGTTTCCACTAAACAAATGTCATAAAGAATCGAGACAAGATTATTAAAAAAAAAATTCTTAACTTAAAATGTTAATTATGATTATTTCTTATTTTCTGATAACAAATAATGTAATGAGGATTGAGCAATGACTACCTTACAGCGAAAAATTCTTAGTGGGTCTAACATTTAGAATACCCAACAGAAATAAATGTCAAATTTTATGGCTGACTTTTTTCTTTTGTATAAAACCTAAAAAAAGAGCGTCACATACTATTCCTCCTCCAAGTAGCCTACGTTTTCTCCATCAAACATCTTGAAAGCGTCCATGATTGTTCCTTCAGGATCGGTACCTAGACAACAGAAAGAGTGACCAATCACAGCACTAGGTTTATAAACATCAGAAAGATACTGAAAAAAACTCCCATAAAACTGACATTAAATAAACTTGGCAAACGGAGAACATACCAGAAATAAAGTAAACATATTTCGCTGAAACTTTCCATTTACTGTTCATTCTATCCTCTTAGAATAATTTCAAATAAAGAAACAAGTTTTTCCCTCTTCTCTATACCAACATCTTATATATTAAAGGTCAAGTTATTTACTGTTTGTTAACATTGAAATAAGACACATTAGCTCCATATGAAGTTAAAAGCAAACAGGTATCCTGAAAATGAGAAAGGGGAATGCCACAGGTAGAGTAGGGTAGCTTTGGTAACAGATGGCCAGCTTTAATGCCTGGATCCCTCAGCATACTTCCTGCTATCATGAATTTACCAACACATCTTCTTCCTTTCCTTTTCTTGGGCTATGATACACATTTTAAGCGGAACTAATCCATCTAGCTCGCAGGGTTTTCTGCAGTCTTTTCCAGTAGCTGTTGCATACATCTTTATAACTGGACATTTTCACTACACGTTATAACAAGAAACTACTTGTTGAACAACAGTTGACTTACTAAAGGAAGGATCTACATGTATTTACAGATAAAGTTATTGCATTTTCACAACCAGACCTCAGTAGACCAGAAATTGATTAATTGACACCAGCAGATAGCTGTAAGTTAAACACCAGATGGAGGTCCCTATGTTATATGGGGTTCTGCTGATGCCAAGCAGTCTATATCTGGTCTACATATATCCAGTATGATTACCATGCCTTTAGTTTATACATATAATAACATATTCACTAAATGGATATTTAAATCAATATATGATTTTGTCACTAAAATAGATTTATATGCTGAATACAGAAACTTGGAACAGTTTTAGTCAAAATAGCAACCTATGTTAAATACATGCAACTGTCTATGTTAAATAATTTTTGATCAAATATCCGACCAAGGCATCCTACATTGAATTTATGCAAGTTTTTGTAGAACAGAACTAGCTGAGCAGATGATGTGAACAGCGCTGTACTGTACAAAACATCTAACTCCAGTACTGCAAACAAATGACAATGACTTGGAAAATACAACTTATTATCTTTGCTAATAAATAAGATTGACTAGTTATAAAGCAAGCTTTAAATTTTGCAACATAGATCTGCTTTTATATTCTTTAAAGCTCTCCTAAAGATCTTCTTAGAACAAGTAAAATACTCCACATTTGTGTTCTATCTACAGGTACACCAAGGCAGCTTGTAACAATAGCCTCCAGGCATAATAAATGAAGAAGCTACATGTACACTGGGTGGTCCTTTAGTCTCATATCCATTGAGGCAGTAGCAGCATGGAAGTCTTGCATCATGCTACGTGTATGCACTATATACAGTTCTCTCTCTCTCTGGTATATATGCACTGCATGCTATAGCTGGATATGTGTAACATACTGCCCAGACTTACCATGGAGCTTCTGACCAAATAGAGTTAAGAAGGCAGTAAAGTTCATTTGACCATGAACACACTCCTTCAACATTTCCTCACAATCCTGAGTGGAAGGCGTACGGCCTGTTGTAATAGAAGAATTATTTAGGTGTAAAGTGTCTGTGCATCAACAGATTCAGCCACCTTTACTTACCATGGAGCTTTTCACCAAAAGTGGTCAGAAAAGCAGTAAAGTTCAGCTGCCCATGGACCTCTTTCAGCATTTCTTCCAGATCAGATCTTGATGGATCCCTGCCTATATTATGATAGAAGAGTGGTTAATTTGGGGGAGGGGTACTGGATCATTGGGGAAGACTTGCCACACCACTTACCGTGGGTTTTCTCACCAAACAGAGTAAGAAAAGCAGTGAAGTTCAGTTGACCTGGGGCCTCCTTTAACATTTCCTGCAGCTCTGCTTTTGTAGGTTCTCTACCTAATAACCCAAATAATGTACAACATTAGTCAATACATACATGTGGGCTAACAGTGAAGGGAAGAGCTGTGTGGGTTGGTGATTGTTTGGGGGGGGGGGGGGGGGGGGGG